GTGTTTACTGTTTAGGTTTATTGTAGTTCAGTTATCAGTTATGAGTTCTGTAGTGTTACTGTTATGCATTGAATATAATATGAAATATTCATCAAATAAGTCACTTACTCAATAATAGAAAAGGGCTCCCTTATGGAAACAGTTTGGGAACCACTAATTTCCTAACTACTGTATTGTAGCTGTTAATTTAATGTTTTACTTAAGTAAAAGTAGTGGTACTACAAAACTAAATTAGTAAAAGTCCAGAATGCAAAATGTTAAAGTATTTGCAAGAAAATGTACTTAAATGGTAAATGGACCTGTATAGCACCTTTCCTAGTCTTCCGGACGCGACTCAAAGGCGCTTTTATACCTACGTGGCCACATTCACCCTTTCACCCACATTCACTCAGTGATGGCAAAGTCCATAGCGAACAGAAACTAACTCATTCATACACATTCACACACCGATCGCACGGCATCGGGAGCAAATTCGGGGTTCAGTAAGGTATCCTTGCTCAAGGCATACTCTCCGACACGTGGCACGGAGGAGCCGGGGATTGAACCAACAACCTTCCGATTAAGTGTTTCTCATACAGAATGGTCCATTTCAGAATAATTCAATATTATGGTATTATAGTATACTATGCATTACTATATTGACCTGAGTGTGAACCTGTTGTAGGTGACAACACAAAATGTTATTTTTTTTTTTAGAGCCAGTGGAGTTGACGTACTTTGAGTACTGTGGCTCGCCTGGTCACACACAATCTCATATTCCACATCAACAGTACAATAAAACATTTCTGAAAAGATTTTGGGAGAGAATTAGTCAACACAGTAACACAATCTTGATCCATATTTGATCAGCACTGCCTAGTTTGACAGTTTGATCTGAGTTGAAAATGACCTGTCAATCACAAGGTAGCCCCGCCCTTAAGCATACCCTGCTTTATGGTCTATTTTTCTCTAAATGGGACCATCATTTACTAAATGCAAACATCATGCTGTGTGGAAGAAGACTGAAACTAGAGATTGATTGTGAGATTATACAGTAGACCATAAACTCCTTAAGAAACTGTTTACTGAGCTCATAAATCAACTGAGAAGTCTCCATTAGACTGCATGGTATCGGTTTTTATTGCAGCCAATGGAGCTCCCCCTACTGGCCTTTACATAAAATGCAGGTTTAAGACAATGTGTTGGCTGCAGACCCAGAAGCTTTGTCCATTATATATACTGTCAGTGGTTGGGACATAACATAGGGAGTGAATGAATGAAAGAGTTATACACAATCCTGCTATGTCATACAATTCAGATAGCTGAAAATGAATACATTACAGCCACTGTGAGTTAACTTTAGTAAAGCAAAGTGGGCATTTGCAGCTTTACAAGGCTATGTTTTGACTGCATGTGTCTGTGGAATTCACTAGAATACCTTGATATAGTTATAAAAGGAAATTCAAGGGGACTTCTTTTGTTCTATGGGACTGAAACATATCTTCCTGAGTGCAGCTTTCAGCTTAATAATCACAGCTCTGGACTGACCTGTGAGTCATTCAGCTGACCCGAGGATCAAAGCAGCACAGCGTACCTTTGCGAGCATCCCTTGTTAAGTACAAAGGCCTGCGCTGTCAGACCGACCCTCCATGTAGCTGACCTGCAGCACCCAGGCCGACTGAGACGTGAACCCACCCAGCCTCAACAAACACACTGCTGGATAACTTCAAACACAGCACTCAGCCCTGAACTTCATTACCTCACATGAAAGACAAAGATTCATCTTCACTTGAGCCAGACGTTGTGTTTGATGCAATGCACTGACCTATATGGGCACAGTGCAGGTTTGCTTCTCAACAATCCAGCTCATGTCTGTCACATTACATGACTACAATACCTGTACAGTACGACACAAAACATGAGCTTTTCTCTTTCCATAGACACCTCTTGGCTGCTACAAAGATGAAGCTCTTATAAAGTCATCCGACAAAGGTAATGTGTTCATTACACACCACTGTGGATATGAATGGGGGAACTTGCTCCCTTCCTAATGCTTGTGTTGCAGTAGCTCTTATGAAGCAGTTACTCTTCAGTGATCCTGGGAAGCAAAACATTTCAGAGTTGGGGCAAGGTAATTTTTCTCACTTAGCCAAGGTGAGCAGTGCGGGGCTGTGTGAAGCAGAATGGGGGTTTAAAAATGATCTGTCAAGCCACTACAATTTGTCAGTGGAATGCCCGTTTTCCGGTCCTTTAGCTACAACACGTGGTCCTAAAATGAATTTGATTTGCCAATTTAACTCTTGAGCTGCCTGAAAGAACCACAGGCTTTTTGCTGAAATTAAGTCAACTTTATGATTTTACTGGTTGTAGTGGTGAGAAGCAGCAATAATTGATTATAGAGCAACACAGAGCAACATTTACATTTATATGAAATCATGTTTCTTCCCACCTGATGAATGAAAGTCCAATATTCACTCTCCTTTTAGCTCTGTTTTGTCCCACAAACTCCTGAGGGAAATATCTGGTTCTGTAGATGCTAAATAACTCCACTATGTTCACCAGCTAGTTGCTAACTTTGTCGTTTTTGGTGCTAGTCAGGTAGTGTACAGTGGATTTATCAAAGCCTCTTTACTAAATAAAAAAGAAATCTGCCTGCTGCTACTGAAAACTCTGTTAGCGAGAGCCGTAAGATTGAACCAAACAGTAAAGTTGGTATAAAAACCAAAACAATGAGCTGAAAGACACTAAATTGGGTTGGATGGTATTTATCTCATCTGAGGCCACCAAGATGTGTTTTTTTGCCAGGTTTGGTTTTTTTACAGTAATTACCGAGAGCAAAAAACACCTTGCAGAAGTTTGCACTTTGCACATCTGGACTTAAAGAACCAAATCAAGCCAAAAATGAAGACTAATTAATTAATTGACTAATTCTCTCAGTTGTTTATGTTTTTCTTTAGAATACTTAATCAATCTCTATGGAAAGGTTTATGATAGACATTTCCTTTGAACCATCTTGTACACGTAAGGAACATGAAACTGAACCAAACAATGATAAGTTACATGTCAGCCAGGTTCCCTGAAGGCCGGAAACAAGTATGTTGAGAAATGATGAAGTGAGCTTTCAAGTCTTTTGCCCTCTTTTTACTGTCAGTGCCGTAGGGAAAGTCAGCGCTTGGTATGTCAGGGAAAGTCTCTCCCTTCCTCTGGTCATATATCTATGTACATAATGTATTTGCACTCGTTCCTCTTAGTTCACACGATACCAAATCAGTTAACAGGCAGGGTTTTACATGTTTGACTCGTTTCAGCATGGAATGTTCGTGGAGCACAAAGCCTTCAGAATGTTTTATTGGCTCTAAGCACAAAATGACCATAATTTGTAGGATTGCAGGGTTTCGCAAGTGTTGTTGATTGTTATCACTCCTCTGTTTCCTCAATTTCTGCTGTGATTTTAAGCTTTTTAGAGGCTTAGATGGACCAGGTCTTGGTTTTTACTGGGAATGCTCCAATCTCCCAGGCCCAACTGTGCATAACAAAATGAAAGCTTCTTTAAAACCCAAATGCACATCAGTCCTACAAGGTGGGTAGGTGCTACAGAGTCTGAAAAACATCAGTACCAAGGTGGAGTTGGCACAGCCTTGCTACCAATAGACCTTTTTCAGTGAGTTTGCACAGTGGAGGCACCCAGACTCTTTTAGACCTGAATGGAACAGAACCACACACACAAGCACACAAAACTTTAAATTTATTCACAGAAACTAAAATATTTTATGAAGAGAATATTTTTCTGGTCTTCCCTCTGACTTTCAGTGATTTATGGAGTTTCCTGATGAAAATATAGTCTTAGCTACTTCTTGTTAGCAGTTAGCTACTTTAGTTGCTAACTAGCTGCTACTGTTAGCTGGTTACCCATGTAGCTAACTTAGCCGTCCTACTTTTTGGCTTCTTTTTAAATGTAAGAAGCGAAACATTTTTTGTTAACTTTAGTTTTATGCAAGCTTGAATCAACTGAGAAAAGTTCATAGTCTTCATTTTGCATTCAAACGAATAGTGCTCTCTAGCGCCTCGCGTTTTCAAATGTGTATTGCAACTACGGTAGCCATTATGTACCAAGAAGCTATGACAACATGTCTTCCAATACCACTTCATCGAGTTGTCTTTCGGGTGATGAGGTTCGTTATTTCAAACAAACTACAATGCCAATTGGCATCATATGTGTGACTTAAACACCCAAGAATAAAAAAACCTTGTAATTTAGACCGTAACATTGACTTATTACCTGTCGAGGAGAAAGCAGGCAACTTCAGCGTCCCTTTCAAAGTCTTTCTCCTTCATTAGCTCTTTCCACCTGGGAAAAGCTACCCCGATGTTGACCCTCGTTTTCTGAATACGCCGGTCACGTTGCCTTTTTAATTCCCTTTTTCGCTTTCTTCCCGACGATAATTCCTTGTCCTGTGGCTCGGCATAAGTATGATCCTCCATTATAAACTAAAGTGCAGTGCAGACTTTCAAATGTGCCAGGGCAGTGACAAGCGCCTCTCACTGATCTCCTTCTCCGTTATAGCTGGTTTCAGTCACGTGACGCTGGCTCTGAACGAAAACGCGTTGTTAGCTAGACAGGTAGGCTAGTGCTGTATGTCCCTCTCGGCGATTGTAGTTTTTCAAAATGGCGGAACGACATGGAAGCCTCCATGGACTTGCCCGTCCAATGTATATACAGATAAGAAATTCTTCGCTTACGAGGATAAGTCAGATCATTGGCAGAGGTAATTTTACACCAATGAGGACACATTTATGAATGAAGACATTGATTTTAGCAAATAAAATACTTAAAATACTACACATTGTCCCTTTAAGTCATTTATTTGCTAGTTTGTTCCTACACAAAAACCGTTAAAAAATATATATCTTTGATGTGTGAGCTCCTGTTGTCTGCATGTGCCCCATGTTTCAGTATGTGCTGTATGTTTCTTGTTTACCTCGTACTTTAAGCTGTTAAAATGGTCACGAGTTGTGAAATCAGCACCACATGTGCTTTTACAGGTTTCTTAACAAGAAAACAGACGACCACCTACAGAGTAAAGCTAGTTGTTCTGTTGTTGTGCTGACTGTAGCCTCGGGTCAGTGGTCCTGTGCTTTCACAACCGCTCCTGAGGCACATGCTTTTGTCCATTACTCTTGCTCAAACATAACAAATAAGCAGTTACAGATACTTTAAACTACACTGGAAATGTGCACTTAAAAAAATATAGTATAAATGACGCTTGGACATAGTTTTACCAAAATAAGATCTTTTTTATTCCACTGACCCACAATTTTACAAAGAAAACATCTGTGTTCAACATTAGAATTTGAAACCATGCATTTATTCATATCCCTAAAATAAATATATGTACAAGAAAGTAAATAATTTAGCTTGTGGCTTCCAGATAAATAGTTTATATATTCCATGTGTACGTCAAATTTAATATAAGATATGAGTGAGTGCAAAAAGAAGATCCAGTCTCCTGTGTAAGTGTTGATAGTAGATAGAGCAAGGTTTGGTTGACAGTCAGAGTGGAAGGGAAGGAAAGAAGGGGGCGCCTCAAGTCGACCGCCGCCTCAATGGTGCCTTCTGTTGGGCTCTGTAAAGCGTAGCTGCTCGTGACTCGAAGGCACCGACCATCTGCTTAACCACTTCGTCAAAGAACACGCTGGCCAGCTGAGAGTGCAGAAGAGACCTGAACTCAAATGACACCTGCAGGAAGGGGGACGGACATGTTAGCCAACAGTCTGTGACTCTTTATTTCAGAACTCTTGAAAGTATCTGAATATAGACCCATAGCTCTGTCAGTTAAGTTGGTAGATTTAAAATTTGTTTTTGACAGTGGAGTTGTTCCGATACCGCCTGTCCTTGCTATTTTTCCCCCAGGATGGCAGAGTCATGGCCTGCCCTACTCTCTGCCCGACTCTGATTGGCTTACCCAGATATTCTCACCTTAACCCTAACCAATCTAAACAACCCACGCCAGTATCGGATTGGCACTCGGTATTGGCCGACACTCAAAGTTCAAGTACCAGACTCCGCATTGGCAAGGGAAAAAAATGCTCAGACTTTACTTCCTTCAGGTGTTCACTGATAATAAGTCTTAACATGTTCTACTAGAATCGAACCACTTCCTGGCTGACCCTGAGGTAATCTGAGCCAACACTGAGGTCAAACTCCTGTCAGCACCTCCTTAACACTGTTCCCTGCCCCGGCGGCTATTTCAGGCCTCAAAGGACACCAGCATGCTACTCAAGACTAAACTTAGAGCATAATGAGATTTAACTCAACACTTCCGCCAGCCAGTAATCCATTCACAATGGTACAGGAACGAATACTTGGAATGAGTTTATCCTTCAGCATGCAATCTGATCTCTCAAGCCCCATGGGAAAGTTGTGGGTTTGTTAATATTCTAGTTTATTCCTTTCATTGTGTACACTATTCTAGTTTGATTTCAGAACTCTACTTTCCCCCTGTCTCTCCATATGTCAAATGTTCCTCATGGTTCTCAGGGTCAGGTCATACTTTGATCTTATACACTTACATAGAACTCCACTTTGCAGGAGGCTGGTAGGTCTTTGTCTCCAGGGGCAAACCTCCATATTGTTTCAAGGTGGCTGAATAGGGATCCATCAGTGCACACGGCCTGTTTCAAAAGAAATCACCCATTATTTATCGCTGACAACCAAAAGGCAACGAGCCTTACCCTGAGTCAAAGCCCAGACAAAGCTGTTAGAATCTTTATAGAGGAGCACAGAATGATGAGGTAGTTACTTTTAACGGTTGTTTTCTCTTACCCTGACTTTGTGGTTCGGGACGACGGTGACCTCGGAGGTGTAGCGCTCCACGATGGGGGGGAAACCTATTTCTAGCTCCGCCTGGACATCCCCATTTCGTCCCTTAATGACCCGAGACTTCTTACACCAGGGAACAAAGTGCTGGTACTGGTCCACACCGGCCACCACATCGTACATTTGCTCTGGAGTATACCTGAGCACAGTCACATGACGACAGACGCACACACAGTGAGATACCGTTTCAATACAGATAGATTCTAGGCGAATCATTTTGTCAATAAATTATCAGAAAATAATGAAAAACGCTGAACGCAACTTCCCAGAGCTTTAGTCTCAAATTGCTTAATAGTCCAAAGGACAAGGACATTTGGTAAAGTCTCATACAAGACAAAAAAAGCAACAAATCCTCATATCTGAGAAGCTGAAATCAAGCAAAAGCAGCTTGATTTGCAACTCCATTTAAATTAGAATATATAATAATATCTATTCCTTACCATATATATAAATTATTACTGTCTTCCTATGTCAGTGGTTTTGTTGGACAGTATAGATCGGGACACTCACCCTAATGTCCGGCACTCGGTGTACTCCATCCTGCGGGTGGCGATGGGAGCAGCCAGGTTGATGAAGCTGCGGCTGGGTGTACTGATGGGGGCGGCGGGGCAGAGTGGCAGGCTGGCCCTTCTCGCTACCAGGGCCCCACAGGAGCCCAAGTGTCTGAGGGGAGGAAATTACATATATGGGAATACATTCATTAACTTGTGGGAAACAGACACAGTGAGTGTGAGTCCTGTGCCATCTAGTGCCAGCTAGTTCATTCACATTTTATACGCTGTACATTCACACTGTTTGAATATATGAGCATCAGTTCTTAGTGAAGGTAAAGCATTCATAACACAGAACAGTATTCTGAATGTTAAATATTTGATGTAATACAATTCATAACTACCCAAGTGGATTAACATTTCCCTGCAGCTCATTGAATAAAAACCACATCTGCCACCAGAGGGAGGAAAAGCAGAGTCCCGCGGCTGCTGCCAGGTGCTGCTTCACACTTCTCAAACACTAGAAATTCAGTCTAGTATCCATTAAAAAATAGCCCAACATGTCCGGAAATGTAAGTAAACAACCTGAATACAACCAACAGCCACATTTCGATAACCTCTGACTGGCTAAACACAGCACAAATGAGCTTTACTCAGTGTTTTCACCTGTACGGTTCTCTGTGGGGAAGCCCCCTTACATTAGCATTATCACTCACCTGATATTCGCTCTGTTTGTCTTCCCTCGCACAACTTTTGAAGAGTGAGCTTCAGACACGTCCAGAAGCGCCTTAAAGAGGAGAGGAGTCGTCTTGTTGGCCATGGTGAAGTTTGAGTTTAAAACAACTAATCCAGGTTGGTGGGAGAGACGTCGGTATTTTGACCCCAGCAGCAGCGGCACCGACCCGGCTTTGTTCTGACTGATGAGCCGCTCCACTCCACTTAATGACAGCAGTGACGCAACAGGAGGCGCCATTGACTCTGGCCAATCAGCGAGATGGGTTGACAAAGCTCAGACTGGTAGTTTATAGGTGATAGTGATGAAGGTAATGCTCCTATATGAACAAGATAACCGACTAAAGATATTCAGAAGACTTTTACTGACTAAATTTGTCTAGTTAGACTGTTTTACAACTTGTATCTTTTAATTTAACATTTCTTGGACACTATCAGTCATCAGTGGAGCTGCAGGTATAAAAGCTAGGTTGTATTGCTATTATGAGATACATAATGACAATATCAGAGCTAATCTCCTCCATCCTTACAGACACATGGAGTTCCTTTAGATAAAACACTTGAAACTTCAAAAGGTTTTGAAGCAATTACTCATGCACATTGGTATTTTCTCTCTTACTCCAATATTTGGCACACGTGAGTCACGAGTTCACAGGATTTTGACAGGTTTCTAGGAGCAAATCAAAGTCTAAATATGTGTGTTTGTGTATAGCTAGTGAACAAGTGAATCACATGCTGTACATGTGACACACCTGGACTTTGGTGCTACACAGGAATAAAGGTAATCAAATAAAATGTTTTTAGTAGAAGAGCAGCATTCTAATACACAGACCAAAATGTTTAAATTACTACAGTAGGAAAGCTACATTTGATTTTAATACATTTTACAAACAGCCATTACCTAACTCTCATTATACTGACACCTCTAAGTGCTGCTGTATTATGTGACTGTCTATTACAGGACCTTCAGCCTGGAATTAGGGCACTTGATCAGGGAGGAATGAAAGAACCTCAGCCAAGCCTATCAAAGATAGGCCGGAAACGTAACTTGTAGGTGCACAGACAAGCTAACCTGTCTCAGCTTATATAAGAACACACAGGCTTAAAAGCATCAGCCTGATCCAAAAATGACACAAGGGATGGATGCTGTTCCAGCTGGCTCTTTCATCCCTGAACTTTATACAGTTCAGTGATTAAAAAGCCAAGCTGAGGCAGTTAAACTTCCTTCTCCTCTTCCTCTTTTAGACTTCTATTTGAAATAGAAAGGTACTCAAGGTTTTCTTTTTCTGTTTATGCAATTTGTCGTCTCAGGACCAAACCTGCCAAACTGCACTCACTTGCTTTTTAACAGATGTATTCATTATTCTACATCAATCATCAATCTAAATGTGTCTACCCAAAGTGCAAAACATACAAGCTAATTTGTCTAAAGCAAGTAAATGTCTCCTATAAAGACTTCAGAAGACAGACAGAGAATCACTAATAGGTAAAAGGATATTTCCAGACTAAGCTAGCTGTTGGATTTTCCCTATCTTGTTTTTTTTAAAATAGAAAGCTTGATCCACATCAACAAAATACTGTCCCCCTGATTAATTAGCTCCACATAGTATAGTTACCATAAATACATATTTACAGAGACAAATATGCTGTGTGTTCTTAATAACATACTTCTTGTTACACTTAACCTCAATTATTAAATATTCACTATTGTTTCCTATAGAAAGTAATTCTGGTACAAATGTGAAATACAATCAGCAGTCAGTGTATAACAGATATTATCTGTATAAGAAATTTTACTTCAGTTCAAATGCTTTATTCATTTATCCCTCAAGGGACATTTTAAGGCAGGTGATACAGCAAATACTAATAAAGAAATACAGCATACAATATCATTAACTCATGTAAAATAATAACAAAAGAAAATCCTTAGAGTATTTTCCCTCTAACAGTGTGGTTAAAAACCTGTTCAGAAGCACACCAAGCCCAGTGAAAATATGCCAAACAAGAACACTATAAAACAACAGGCATGCAAAAGCTGTTGTATCACTCAAAACATAATCCTTATAAAATATTTCTCCACCAACCAGAAAATGGTCTATTTTTACGTTTATATTTTTATATTGCGATAAGGAATCTAACTTTTGATAAGAGACATACAAAAATAGAAGCATGGACTCTGTGAACTCAGTGAATTTACTGCCCTTTCCAGTTGAGCAACCACAGTGAGTCAGAGAGCACCAACTTTATAGCACAAATCAATAATGAAGGAAAACAATATTAACCTCTGCACATAAAGTAAAAGAAGGGTCAAGTCTGCTCATGAAGTAGTGGCCTGGTTGGAAATAAGACATGTACGAAATTATTGTTCCTCAGCAGAGAAAATGATTTTGCTCATCGCACTGATGTACCGTGAGCCATCTGGTTCTGTGATCTTCAGTTTGGTGAGAGGTGGCATGACATCACTGGTGAAGTATCTGAATGCAGGGCTGGGTGACTGGATGGCATCCAGAAATACCTTGGAGTCAACAACAAACACCACAACAGAAGAAGTTATTAAGTCACCTGAAGGTAAATGTGCTTAGTTATATTCCACCACTGTCTCATGCAAATGTGGAATAATCCAGTCCATAAAAGAAGAGTTCAAAGTCATGCACAAAGTGTGACAAGCCTCCAGTATGATAGAGGCTCCTCCCTATCCATAGCTGGTAAACATCATTTTTTTTATTTTTAGATAGCAGAAGTAAATGTTTCATAGTTGTGTCAAACTGTTTAGTCTGAATGGTTTCATGTGTCATGGGGAAATTTAATTTTCTTTTCCACACTAAAAACATTTAAGAGAAAATACAGAAAGTGAAAAGCTACTTATTTGGGATTATGTGTTGATATTTAGATGTAATGCTGTACTATGAGTCTTTAAACACAAATTGATTAACCATTTCAAATATAAACTGTTTCCACCAGCATTATTGATACATATCACTAATGCAGTTATGACCTACTGTATACATACCTTTACAATATCCTCAGTGTCCTGTGCTGCGTTTTGGAAAACGGAGCCACAGTGCTGCAGGTATTTTTCATAGAGGCTGAGTGTTTGGGTATCGACCAGTTGCAGAGACTCATCCCCGAGCTCCGTCTTCTGCAGGTTAACCAGGAAATCAGTGTTGACTGGACCACACTCAATGAGACTCACACTGCAGGATAGAGCATCGAGTCAATAGTTTCTCCTATCAACTCTTACAGTTAATAGATATTAGATTAGATGAGCAGAAATAACATGCCGGTAACTTTAAAACTCACTGGATATTGAAGTGTTGCAGGAGGACAGCCAAACTCTCACATGCTCCCTCTATTGCAAATTTACTGGCACAGTACACCTCATTAAAAGGGAGACCTGTAAGAGAGCATGGAGCACAAAGATGGGTTATTTTGGCAATTTCATGCATGGCAGCCAGCATCAACGTAATTTTCTTTTTGCAATTTCTATCAAATCATGACAAGAACTGCACATGTGGAACACTGCTGACATTCAGTCATCCCTCGACCATTTCCATGTCTCACCGTGAAGCCCTCCAGTGCTGCCAGTGACCAGAACGCGGCCCTTGCCCTGAGCCTTCATGTCCGGTAGGAAAGCCTGGATGGTCTGAATGGTACCAAGGAGGTTGACCTCCAGAATCTGCCTCATTGAGTCCAAGGACTGGACCTCCAGTGGACCCATCAAACCCACACCAGCATTGCACACTGTAAGTAGTGAGGATATAATCCCATATAAACACACACAAATTACTGTCTTAATCAGGACACACTGACACAACCGCATACCCAGAATGTCCACTCGATTCTCCACAACCCTGTCCCTCGCATCCAGAATGGACTGCCGGCTCGTCACATCCATTTGGAGTATGTCCAAGGTATCCTTGTGCAGGCCCTTCACACACTCTAAGAGACGCTCCTTTTTGGCCAGGTTTCTCATCGTCGCATAGACTAAACAGAAAGCAGAACTTAGTGGCATGTTTTGATACAGATGTAAAAAAGAAAACACACATTGGACTCACAGCATCACGTACAACACAGCTTTACATCCTGTTCAGTGTTGGTCACCTTTGAATTTTTTGTTGGGGTCAGAGGCTAGCCGGACAGCCAGACTAAGACCGATTCCCGAGGAGCATCCCGTGATCAGCACCACCTTCTTGTCCATGGAGCCTGCCTCACTAATGTTCTGATTCAACAGAGAGCAGCTGGAGCCAAGAGGATAAGATGTAGGCATGTGAAAACGCTTCTCAGAGTTTTTACGTCATTCGCTATCACAAGGCCAGTTTAATCCTAAACATTTTTCTGTTATCAGCCACCTGCTGTCCTCTATTTTCTTTCTCATGTCCTTGTAAGTGTAGATTCTGCCTTCATGAGGGGCTTGTTTATACAACCAGTGACATAAAGTATCAATGATACAAGTGCAAATTAAATATTATATTTCTTGAGGTGTATATACTAGACTTTCTGTGACGTCTGTGAGGTTGTATCCAAATTTTGAATAAAATGTAGGTTTTGAGAATAATAATAATTCTCAGAAAATATACCACTTTATTCTATCCAGCAAAACATCATAATATCAGTCCTCAATCACGCCATGTATAAAGTCTGCACAGATTTCTGGCTGCTCCATTGACCGCATCAAGACAATGAAGCTGGCAATAGCCAGAAAAGAGAACAATTGATTGGAGGGATTTAGGAGGGAAGTCGCAGTCGTGTTGTTCTTATAAGGTCTTTGATTTGGAGACTTTTCCCAGGCTTGTGTTGAGGGAAATTGTTATTTTAGGTTTTAGGATTCAGGTTTATAAAGATAAACCATCCAGCAGAGTCTATAATATTCTTCAAATGTGTAAAAAAAAAAGTAATCTAAGTTCAAATTTGTACATATTCTGAGCTTTTAATCGCATCTCATTATCAGCTGTTGATAAGGCTAGAAAGTGGACCTTTGAGTTAAGATTATTTTCCTCACACATACTGTTCCCAAGATTATACTCAAGTGCAAAACTAATAAATTTCGAATGTCTAAATTAATCATTGACTTAAAGTATTGACTCTGTGAATCTGTGAAGTGTTTAAGCATGTCAAACAAAGGCATTGCACAAAATGAAATGCATTCGCACTGAGGAAACTAAGGGGAAACTTGGCCCATTTCAAAGCAAGACATTCTAACCAAAGCCCATGTCAAAGAGTGTCTATTATTCAGTACAAGTAATCCATCATGCAAGCTCTGAGCAAGTGGAAAATATGTTGTGATTACAAGGTGTCATTTAGTGAGTTTTCACTAGGTGGCGACAAATCCTCAGGTATGGACCATTCGTCTATCAGCGTTTGAGTAAAGCCTAGTAATTATGAACATTTACCCATAATAAGCTGTCAAGAAACACTGGACTAGGTGCTGGGTTCAGATGAATTCTTAAGGCAAAGAAGTGAAATGTCATATGCAGAAATTTGACTTTTTCTCTGTTAAAATACCTCTTAAAGTTATTCTGCAGCTTCAGTGTAATGTGTCATGGTTCTCTTCCTCCATTTTTTTGCCTTGTTTCTACCTATCTGCATTTGGTTACCATCCCGTGTGCTTTCTCCTACAGACTTTCTGACCATTGAACATATTTATGCAACATTTCAGCAGCCTGATTCGAAAGAATTTCTTGTGCTGATGGGAGCAAACCAAGTAGGAATTTCCTGCCATTTTGTTGCGTTCCTCTCCTTGAGATGGCATCAGTTTGGCTGCTGTCCCAGAGTCTGTAGGACAGATAACAGCAGGCCTTGAACCTCTTTCAAATATCTACGACTCCCAGGCATTGTTAAAAACCTAGAACTGCCTAACCTAAGACATAAGTGAGTTTTAGCTCTTTTTATGGTATACAGTATGCATGCATTCATTATTTTTTGTTTAATGCTTGTTCAGGTACATTCAGATATGAAGCTTGAATACAAAAACATGTATGCATGTTACTGTTCTTGTAGGAGAGGCGCTGAAGCACACCCAAGTTGCTACTGTGTGCAAAGTGCTTTAACTTGAGGGGAAAAGCAAATGCCAGTAGAAAATCCAATACACAGTAAAGCAACACTCAGATGTATGGGCTGCATTTCATCCATTAGTTGTCTCTAAATCCATCCTGACAGCATTGGTACAGTCTATGGTCCGTGGTGCAGTTGGGCAGCTTCCTACTGCACGTGGCCTGGAGTCTCCCTGTGGCTCAGTAATTAACAAGAGAAGGTCGAGTGGAGGTGCACAGTGGTCTGGAAAAGCCTTTAAAACTCCTCCTCGACAAAATTGGCCCACAGCACTGAGAGTAAACAGACTTCTGAAGATAGTTGCACAGGGAGAGAGCAAGGGCATCCCACGTGCAAAGCTGTGTGTCTTTGTGACAATTTTGGGAGAAAAGTAAAGTGTTTGTTGGAAGTGGTGTAGGCAGCAGGCCGGCCTCGTGCTCAAGGGGGAAATGCATGAAACAGAGCAGTCATAGATTCTGCGAAAGAAGTGTCTGCTACTGCTTCAGGAGGAAAAGTGTAACAGCTCCCTGGTGTTAGCCCATTCATGTGCTTACCCCATGAAGGACCAGACAAAGCGCGTCACATTAAGCTGTGCTATTCCAGGGCAAACGCATAGAATCAGTGCATGGTGCAGACACAATACAAGGTTTGTAAAAACACTTCAGAAGCAGATGTGCTCGACAGGATGTCCCATGTGAGAGTGATGAGCAGAAGTGAAACAGCTGAAGATGTGTTGTGTATGTGTGTGGTAGATGTGGTGATGCTGAAATGTCACGCTATAGCAGGTTAACTGAGGCTACTTTTTACTGAGGGCGTTTAAGATGAACTAAATGATCTTTCATTTCTCAGAGTTTCCTCACTATACAGGTGAAAGATAAAACAGTTCAATGCACTTTTGAAGCTTTTTCTTAATCTCATAAAACAGTTTGACGTCATTCTTGTGATCGGCCTATACAAGCCAACGTGGGGTTTCCATCAGCCCGTACGAGGAATAAGAAAGGGATCCATTTGATCAATACCTTACATAAAAATAAAGCCTCATTTTAACTTTAGAATAAGATACAGGATAGGGTGATCATGCCTGAAGCAAAACTTTTACCTGAGCAGCAGGGAGGCAGACAGACAGCTTTGCTTAACACAAGCTTTAAAGTAACAACTATTAACTGTGGTGACAGTACTGCATCTTGTAATGTTGCTGAAGATAAATGAGGCACAATTTTCAAAATATTCTACCTCACCGGGGTTATTGGTTAGAAAAACATACATAAATTACATTGATTGTTGAGCTCAGTAATTTGACTAAAGAGACATTTTGTTTTAATGTAAAAAAATATTTCTACATATTGATTCATCTATAGCTGAGCTGAAAACAAAGAGAAACTCTAAGCTAAGCTAGGTAATGGTTCATAGATTACTAAAAGCATTTGCATTATGAGAATGGATATATGGTTACAATTCATACAATCTATTTTACTTTACATAAATGCTGACAAAGGCTGCAGATAACAATAAGGCGGTCCATATAAAGACAGAAGTGAGACACAAATTTTATATTTTGTCTCCATTCCAATAAGTACGTACTGCAGCGTTTCCATCTGATATCAAATTAATTCATCTCTACCTGTCTAAGAGGTTTTGTTTCATTTATAAACCACAGTTTGCCTGCTTTTGTCTAGACTTGATGGATTTTATTATTATAACTACGCGTCTACATCTAATGATATAAAGTTACTGCGTCTGTGACCTTTTCCTGCCTCTCTTCTCAACAAACAGTGGATACATTTGATCCATATCCTTTTCTTCAAATCTGGCTCAAATAATTCATCAAAGTCTGCAGCCTCTTAACTCCTTTACTTACAAAATGTTCTGCCCGGAGACATGTTATTTCTGGTGTCTCTCCAGAGTTGCTTCTATTTCACTACTGTATGCATGCGTAGCTCTTTGCTCACTGGTAAAGGAAATGTCCAAAGTAAACTGTCAATGTTTGAGAGAGGTTTCTTGCTTGTGCGTTGCAGTTGGACATAGTGCTCTTATATTAGATGTTGCAGGCATCTGTGATAAAAATAGAAAGTATCCCCTGTTCTGTGAAACCCATCCAGCCTACAGGACAACTGGGAATGGAGCGAGAGATCGAAAGAATTCCCTCCACTGAGAATGTAGTCCAGGATGATAAAAACCCAAACCAAGGAGCTATAACTTTATAGGCCTGCTTTTAAACTGCTGACTGACGAGAGATGTGGCTCCGACTAATAGATCAGTTCTGACGACGTATGGCAGGCTTACTTCAATAAAGGGTAAAGAGAGAGCCTGAGAAATCCACAGTGCATTTTTCACATGGTAATATAGAGGGAGTGCGGCTCGCTCCTCTCTGGTAAAATCATCATGGCTGAAAGAAGAGAGGACGGAAAGTATGAATGGTTTTGAACACACGTATACATACAGGGGCAGAATCAGCACTTTTTAAATGTCTAATCTACAGAATAGAATTTCCTGAAATTATTACAGTATAAAAAGCTCAAAAGATAACGATTTAGTCCTGCCTGATAGCTTTAGAATTGTTAGTTATATTCTTTAGAAAGAGCATTCATGAGAAGTCCATAATTCATTGCGCTCGGTGCAAGACCAAGACAGAGAGAAACAAACATATAGTCATATTTTAAGTGCAAGAACATTACAGTCTTGCTGTGGGCCCAGGGGAGGGGTGTGGCCAAACTTCCCAGAGCAAGGTCAAGGGTCACTCAGGTCTTGTCATGAGAAGGGATTAGGGCATCATATTTTATATGTGTATATGTTCCCAGAGATTTTAAGACTGGATGATGCAGGGGTTATGGTTGCCTGCTGGACATGAGGCTTTACGTCATGAGTAACCCTCAGGGCCACTGCCTGACCTGCCGGTTTTGCATTCCACAGGATCAGTTTGTGTATAAAACCTCAGAGAGGAAATGGCGGGGATTGTGTCATGGGAAATGTCCCCTCAGTCTTGAATCAACCACTCAAGGCATTCTTTCTCTCTAATACATTGAGGACATCCTGTTCCTGCTATTTTCTTGGCCTTCAGGCACTTGAGTCTGACCTGACTAGACCCGACCTTTATTTAACTCAGAGCACTGTCTTAGTCAAGGTTTAAGCTGGAGGTCAAAACAGGACAGTTTCAGCGTGTATGCATACCTC